GACAGATGAGGCTTTTGCCCCAACACTCCCATTAATGTCAACAGGGGAGAGACAGCTGCAGGCCCCTCCTTGGAGCAGGGCCAGCCCCAAAGCAGCAGGTCACTCCATTCACCAGAGGGGAAAAAGGGGTTCCACAGGCGATTCCGATGATCTGCCTCCTCTGGGCAGAATAGGAGTGTCAGGGGTGAGGAGCCAGTGGCCTCGAGGTCCCATGTGGCCCTCTAGGTCCTCAAGTGCAGCCCTTTGACTGAATCCAAACTTTACAGTTTTTTTATGAAGGGGATTTGTTCTGTGAAGTTTGGATTCAGTCAAAGAGCTGCACTTGAGGGCCTAGAGGACCACATGTGGCCTTGAGGGTGCAGGTTCCCCACCCCTGAGAGTCCTCTGGGATCTGGTTGTGAACTAAGCCTTCTAAGGTGCAAGGAATCTTAACATTTCCCACCTGGAAAGGTGCCTCAGAGATCCAGGAAGTAGCATACCCAGCTCTTAATACAGCAAATCTATAGCACACCATCTCATTTTGTTCTTTGACGGGCCGATGGGTCTGCACGCTTATCCACGTGAGGATTTCTTCCATGGGTACAAATCATAACTCAGTCACCCCTTCTCATCCTCTGATATTTTCACCTGTGGCCTCCATGGAGCATCTAGCCAATGCCTGGACGGACCTCTTCGGTCCTTTTGAAAATTCCATGGATGAACAAACATAACCTTCAGACTCTTCCCATTATAGTTCTCCCTCCTACAATATGACCAGCCCACTTCCTTTCCTGGAGTCCCATTTCCTTGGTCATCCCTTCCACACTGATTCTGGTACAAGTCACAAACCATTGCTGCTAAGTTGCAGCTAGTTACTATCCCCATTCATCTCTCAATGCTCTCTCGGTCAGTTTTGCTGTGTTGACTCCTGTGAGTTTGTGATATTATATGATTCATAGCGATAGAGCTTCTGTGGAAGAAGTGGGGGTGGGAGCAGTAGACAGTCAGTCTATACGTACACTTCGAACAGTGTAGAAATGCTCTCCACCAAAGCAGATTACTTGTCTACATCTTTTTACATCTCATTGACTAATCTACATCTTGGGCCTCTTCAGTGACTTTCTGAGAGAAAATCCAAACCTAGGTCTTCCTGGCTTTCACCATTCTACCGTTCTGTCTCCCACTGGAAGAATTAATACTGGTGTTAAAAAAGGCAGGATTATGTGGCAAAGTCTAGTTTGGCACGATCAAAAGCCCTGTACACTTTCCAAAATGCCACGTAACCCATTCTTTGCCTTCTAGGTAGATTAGTTGGGTGGCGTGATAATTAGATCACTGGCTTAAGAATCAGAAAGATCTGAGTTCAAATCCTGCCACTAACTGTATGTGACAGTTTCCCTACATGAGGCTAGGTTGTTCTAAGGACCAAATGAGAATGTATGTATATGTATAGCATGTGTGTATTATATATACGCATGTAGATGTATAGCATGTGAATATATATACATATGTATGTGTATAGAATGTGTACATATACACCCATGTGTGTATGTGTTACACACATACACATATGCATATAAATAGTGATTTTCTGATTTTTAAAAATATGGCCGTGACCTTCTACCATTTCAAGCGTTGTCATATAGAAAAGGGAATCAATTCTGCGCGGCCTCAGAAGGAGCAACAGGAACCAGTGGGGGACGAGCTGTAGTGAGGCATCTTCAGGAGAGATGGAAGCCAGCAATGGGAACAGACCCCAAATGGAGCAAGCAGCTGCCAAAGGCAGTGAGGGCGCTCACTCGCTAGACAGAAGAAGAGGCACCGTGCTTTACAAGGCTGGAAGGGACCTCAGAGGACATCTAGTCCAATCCACAGTGTGGTAGGCTGTGTACTAGTCACTGAAAAGACAAAGAGAAAAATGCAACAACGCCTGCCCTCAAGGAACTTACATTCTGCTGTTGGACCTCCAAGGTAGAGCCCACCTTTAGATATTAAGGATTTATGGTCTCCTTAACTCCATTCTCCTACACGCTATGCCCCTTTCCCTTTAGGTGCCCCACCTACACAATCTCCTTAATCCAGCCTATATTTCAACTGGTTCTCACTTTCATTCAGTTTGATTGGTAATTCCTTCTTTCCTGCTTTTTCTCTCTTTCTTTTTCTTCCTTCCTTTCTCTCTCCTACCTCCTTCTCTCTCACTCTCTTTCCTTCCCTTTTCCCCTTCCTCCTCCTCTCCCTCTCTTCCCCTTCCCCTCCTTTAACAGTGTGATATTCCTACCTTTCTATTTTTACCTCCATTTTACAGCTGAGAAAACTGAGGCTCAGAGTGGCATGGCCACAGACATATAGATAGTAAGTAGACCTCAAAGCAAGAATCTCTCCATCACACCTGACAAGTGATTATCTGGTCTTTGCCTGAAAACTTCCAGTCTCTAATGAGGAGAAGCTTACACAAAAGGGGAAAGTGTGAACTCTGAAGAATATGGGTTCAAATCTCCTCTCTGAAACTGCCTGGTGAGCTTGTGCAAGTGATTTCTCTCTATGCCTCAGTTTCCTCGTCTGTAAAATTATGGGGTTGCACTACATGGCCCCTGGGGGCCCTTCCAGCTCTAGATCTGGAGGACAATGGTTCTGTCACCTCCTGAGGAAAGCAGTGTCAGGAAATCTTCCTGAAAATCTAGCCAAAGCTTACCTCTTTCCAGCTTTCACCCATGGATTCTTCCCTCTGGGGCCAGAGTAAGCCTGATCTCTTCTCAACGTGGCGGCCATCAAGCACTCCCTAAGGCTTTTTGCAGAATAAAAATCCCTGGTCCCTTCAATTGATCTTCATGAAGCATGAGGGAAGTTAGGAGGCAGAAGGGGGAGGGGAAAAGGAATAAGCATTTATATGGCACCTACTGCCCGCCAGGTACTGTACTAAATACTTTACAAGTATTATCTGATTTGAGATGAAAGGATAAAGAGGGAGAACATTCCAGGTATGTAGAAATAGGGTGTAAAGTAACAGCAAAGATCTGTCCATTGACTTTGGGAAGGTCACTTTAATTCTCTGGGCCTCAGTTTCCTCATTTGTAAAATGAAGGAATAGGGCCAGATGAGCCTTTAGCATCCTAGCTGCCCTCAGGAGTTAGGCTCTGAAAACTAAAAGGCACAATTTATCCCTGGAGACACAGAGAAATAAAACAAATGGCCTGTTATACCCTCCTTCTCCTCATTATGATCGTCATGCTATAAAGCCTTGTCTGACTTTGGTTTGGGGCACTTATTCCTTCTGATTGATAGAGGAGGCAGTGATCCCTAACCTTTGCTTCAAGGAGAGGCTACAGGAGTCCTGGGGGACAATCTAGGAGCAATCTCTGCTCATGCAGGGGCTAGACGAGATTACCGATTAATTTTCTTCCACCTTGAAGGTTCTGTGGGGATAGGAGGGGAAGAAAGGACATGAAACTAAGGAAAAGGGAGAGATGATGGAAGATAGAGGCCCAACCCTCTTCTCCCTTCTTTCCTCTCTCTCCTTCCTTTTTTCCCTCTCATTTTCCTTCTTATACTCCTCCCCTCTCTCCCCTCCCCACTTTTCTTCTTCCCTTTCCATCTGCTTTTCTCTTTCCTCTTCCCTTCTTCCTTCCCCCTCCTCCTTCCCTTTCCACTCTATTTCTTCTCCCATTCTTTCCTCTCCACTCTCTAATAATGGATCCTGGGGTACCTACTTGCCCCCTATTTGACTGTGATACCTGTTTGTTTAGGGGATGGTGGAAGAGGTCCAGACTTGTAATATCATCCATCTAGGACATGCCCTCCCTCCTCTCAATGCAGATCAATTCAGTTCAGCAATGTCTTAGAAGGCTGCTTGGGGAGTACCATGAGACTGAGTCACTCATCAATGCACAACCATTTACTAAGCATTACTATGTGCCTGGCATTGGGCTAAAGGGACAGAAATACAGGTGAAAGAAAGGCAATCTCTGCCCTCAAAAAGCCTACAGTTTAATAAGAGATGACCCCATCTAAAAGAGAAGATGCAAAGGGAGCTGGGAAGAAGGCACCTAGGCAGAGGCATGTTGACATAGACTTAATGAATCAGAAATGGCTGCTCTGGGGCCCCTCCCCAAAATGGAGGCTAAAGGAAGAGCTGTCCAATGGGAGAAGAAGTCTTCAAGAGCCTAATGACTGGCCCAAGGTCTGACTCCCCATATGTTAGTGGTAGGGTTTGAACTCATGGCTCCTGGACTCTGAGGCCAGTTTTCTGTCCACTACATGTGCAGTAGCCTTCAGGATGGTCTCCTTGCCTCACACCTCTCCACACTCCAATCCATCCTCCATGTAATGACCAAAGTGATTTTCCTAAATTGTAGGTCTGATCCCATCATGCCCACCTTTCTACTCAGTAAGCTCCATTTGCTCCCTATTAGGGATAGCATCAAATAGGAAATCATCTTTTGGCCTTTAAGGCCCTTCATAGCTTGGCCCCATCCCCCTTTCCAGTCTTCTTACACCTCAGCCCCTTCCAATACTCTATTCCCATGAGACACTCCATTTCCTGATTCTGCATTTTCCCCGGCTATCCCCCACGCTTGGAATGCTCCCCCTCCTCACCTCAACTGCTAGGATTCCCAAGCTTCCCTCAAATGCTTTCCCTTGGAGTTGATCTCCAATGGACCATTGATGATTGACAATTGACTGTATATATTGTTGTTTACATATGGAATACCTCTTTAGACTTTGAGGTTCTTAATATTAGGGGCATTTTTTTTTTGATTTTTTAATCTTCTTTGTATTCCCAATGCCTGGAACAAAGTAATGAATGCTTAGTTGAATGACTGATTGACCAATTCAACCTGTTTTGCCCAATATTATTTTTTTGTTGGCTGAATCAGTTATCGATTTACACAGGGCATGCCTGCATAGCACCAAAAAAGAGGACTGAGGATGTCATTGTGAGGAGCTGGTTTAGGGCTAGACTAAAAAAGAGAAAACTTTCTGCTGAAATCTAATTAACTGCTCTCTTCTCCTTTTTCTCAAAGGGCCAAGTATTCCTATAGAAAGAAGATAAATGGAGAGATTGAGATTCAAATGGAACAGGTCAGTGAGAGCTAACCCTTTCTACAAAGGCAATCTTCGGCAAAAGTGGCATTCCCCACTGCCATGATGCCCTTTGCCACTTAAAGATGCAGGACAAGAGAAAAGGGAAATGGGGTTGGTTGTAGGAACCCCCACAGGATAACCATTTTGTGTCGTATGTACATCCTGAAAGATTTTCTCTGAGCAGGCTGTGAGTTCAGAGTTGTGGCTGCTCTAGGGTGGTTAACCTCAGCTAACCCACTAACCAGCCTCTCTCTCTCTCTCTCTCTCTCTCTCTCTCTCTCTCTGCCCAGTCTGTCAATCTCTTCTAACACACACTAGCCAGTTGTTTGTTACATTAAATAGCAATTTCCCCTTCCAAGTGCTCTTCTTCACCCCACCTCATCTCTGTAAGCATTTCATTCTTAGACCTATATCCTTACAACAACCCTGAAAGATAGGTCAGGCACAGGGAAACCTATTTTACAGGTGCGGAAATGGAGGCACAGAAATATCAAGGAATGAGTCAAAGGACAGAGGGTGAGGACTATCTCACTTCTGTCTTTGTATCCTCCAATGCTTAGCATCACATCTAGCACATAGTAGGGATGGGCCTGGCACACAATAGAGATAGGAATTGAGGCTGAAACTATAATTTAATTCGTATAGAGAACTCCCCAATAAGGAAATGCCCTCTTCCAATGTGGATTGACATCTCTGACACTTACGGTCTTAGCATATTGCCTGGACTGGCAAAATGAACGTGGTTAACCTGATCCGTAGTGAAGTCAAGACAAGGACACAAGTCTCCTAACTCCTGGTGAATATTAAAACTAACATCTTTACTCATAGAGATGCAGAGATCTTAGAAAAATTCTTTCAAGTTCTAAAGGAACTTATAGTCATTGAGTTCAATCCTGTTATATTACAGATGTGGAAACTGAGGTCTAGAAAAATGAAGTGACTTCATCATTCATCATGCAATGAATTAGTGGCATCCTTATCCTTATAACACCATTATTGTAATAATTGTTTCAATTCTTTAGAGCAAGAGTTCTTTCTTAACTTTGTTTTTCATGGATGCCTTGGGTGGTCTGGTAAAGTCCATAGAGGCTTCTCAGAATCATGTTTTCAAATGCGCAAAATGAAATACAAAAGAAACCAATTATATTGAAATAAAAATGGAGTTGTTTTTCCTTTCCCTATCCAAATTCACAGGCCCTCTGAAATCCATTCACAAATCCCTTCAGGGATCTGTGGCCTTTAGGAAGGCAACTGCATCAGAATGGGTGTTGCTCTTTTACTGATGTTAATCACAACCCCTCCCCTCCTTGGCATGTGGTGTTTCCCCCAATAGGATGTAAGTTCCTTTATGCAAGGATTGTTTCCTTTTTTTCTCCTTATTCCCAGTGCCTAGTACCTTATAGAGGTTTAGTAAATGCCTGTTGATCGATTGCTTGATTCATGAATGTCTGTGGCCAAAAATATGTATCACTTGGTCAAAATTAAAGTCATGAGGACCCATAAAATTGGCTAGGCTGGTTCCCTAATGATAGACACAAAAGTAATCTTCAGATTTTTATTCTAAGCCTGTCAAGCAAGAGCCTGGTCTCTGAGGCAATCATTTTGAATGAAAGAAAGAAAAAAAGCAAATATTGAGTGTTTACTGTATACCAGGCACTGTGCTAAACACTGAGTATACAAACACAAGTAGACATGCCAATCTTTGTCCTCAAGAAACTGACATTCTAATGGAGGAAGACAATACCTGTGGTGAGTGGTGGAAAGGGAGGAGTGTTTCATTCCGAAGGGACGATAATTAGAGTCATAGATAATTAATTGATTTATCTTTTTCAGGAATAATAGGGGTGTTGATTTAATTACTACTCTCAGAGCCAGAGTTGTAAAGAAGGAGAAGGGGTGGGGAGGATTGCAATGGACAAAGCTACATCCTAGATGGTAGGAAAGTGTGGTTGGTGGGAGACCATGGCAAGACCCAGTGGAGGTTCACCAGCAGTCACAGGGCTGGGAGCTTGAGTTCTGGCGGCAGGTGGCAGGTGGAATTGCAGGCAGTGTGGCATGGAGATATTGGCAAGCGACACGATGGGGCCCAAAGTCAGGGGAGATAAAGGAAATACTTTCGAGTCAGAGATGAGGACACGTCCAGGCCAGAAAGACTTCAGTTCAAATCCAGCCTCAGGTACTTCCTCGATATGTGATGCTGAGCAAGTGTCTTCCCTGAGAATGATACCCACTTGTGCTCCACATATCTTGTATGTACATACTCATTTGCATCTTGTTTCCCCATTGGGGGCCTCCTTGAGGACATGGACTAGGTTTTTACCTTTCTTTGTTTTCCAGCGGCAAGCTGCCTGCCTCAGTTTCCTCATCTGTAAAATGGGGATAATAACAACACCTTCCAGGGTTGTGGTGAAGACCAAATGAGAGAATATTTATAAAGTGCTAGGAACCACACTCTACACATAATAGACACTTAATAAATATTTGTTTCCTCCTTCCCTTCCTTTTCTGTGTTCAAATCCTACCTGAGACACATGAAGATATTGTGACCATGGGCAAATTCCTTTACTTCTCTGGGCCTCAGTTTCCTCATTTGTCAAATAAGAAGGTTGGATTCTATGGCCTCTAAGATCTATCTACCCTCTCTGGGCCTCAGTTTCCTCATCTGTCAAATAAGAAGGTTGGACTCTATGGCCTCTAAGATCCCATCTACCCTCTTTGGTCCTCAGTTTCCTCATCTGTCAAATAAGAAGGTTGGACTCTATGGCCTCTAAGATCTATCTACCCTCTTTGGTCCTCAGTTTCCTCATCTGTCAAATAAGAAGGTTGGACTCTATGGTCTGTAAGCCTATGATTGCATGGTTCATTTCATTTGGAGCCATCATCGCTTAAGAGAAGGAAAGGAAAGATCTGGGGAACACTGGGCCTGACAAGCCTCTGTTCATTGTTTCCATCTCTTTCCAAAGAAATGAACCTTTGGCTCCTTCCATGGAGTTTTTGGCTTCCCTGCTGGCTGCTGGTACTCCTACAGGGTCCAGAATGTTCTTAGAATCATAAAAACACAGAACGCTCAAGTTGGAAAGGACCTTAGAATTGATCTGGCCCAACCCTGTTTGTGCTTGTTTATCCATTGGTTGGCTTTCATTGGCTAGCTGGCGATTTCACTGGGAGAGGGAATTAACTCCACTGTTTATTCCACTATTCCTCCATCAGTGGAAATCTACACATACAGACACACATACACACAAGGTGATGAATGTTAGGTCTAGATGAGGAGCGCTTCTGTCTTTGGCCCATTCCTTCCTCTTTCTTTCTTCTATCCCAGTACATTAGAACATATCACAGAAGGACCTGAAGCCAGAAAGGGCCTTAGAGATCACCTTGCCCCCCTACCCATTCATTTTACAGATAAAGAAACTGAGGCCCAAGTTCAAGTGGCTTCCCCAAAGTCAATGCAACAGATCTTTGCTCCTGCCTTGGAGGCTCACTCTCCATGCCTGGAGTATTGTGCCTCCTCCCCTCTCCAAAGGAAGATGGTATATCTGTTCTTTGTCATAATATATGTCCCTATGGGGAAAAGGAGTGAGAGGAATATTAGGCAGCTGGTGGTGTAGTGGAAAGAATGCTGAACCCGGAGTCAAAAAGACCTGAGATCAAATCTAGCCTCAGACACTTACTAGCTGTGTGACCCTAGATAAGTCACTTGACTTCTGTTTGCCTCAGTTTCCTCAACTATAAAATGGGGATAATAATAGTACCTCCCTTGAAGGGCTGTTGTGAGGCTAAAATGAAGATAATATGCGTAAAAAGAACTCAGCCCAGTGCCTGGAACAAAGTGGACTCTTGTAGAAATGCCTGTTCCCTACCTTCTATGGTGGGAAACTGAGGCAATATAAAAACAAACTAGATCAATACAAATTTTATTAAATTGATTTATTAAATTTATTTTAATAAATTAAATTTATATTATACAATAAACAAAATTTATTAAATTTAAATATTAATTTCTTTTAAAAGAAAGCTGGGTTTTTCACTTTTCCCTGGAGTTCTCTCCCTCTTCTCAGCCTCATGGCTTTCCTGGCTTCCTCTTAGCCTTGGTGCCAATTCGACCTTCACCAGAAGTGTTTTCTGGTCCTTCCCAACCCCCTTCCCCACTCCTAATGCCTTCCCTCTGGCACCCTTGCTCATTTATGCTGTCTAAGTCTCGTATACACTCAGTCGTTTGCATCTTCTTTCACCCCATCAGAGCCTTCCTTGAGGGCAGAGACTCCATGTTTGCCTTTCTTTGTCTTCCCAGGGTAAGCACAGTGCTTGGAACACTTTTGTCGTTGTTCAGCCATTTCCAGTCATGTCTGACTCTCCATGACCCCACTTGGGATTTTCTTGGCAGAGATACTGGAGTGGTTTGCCATTTCCTTCTCCAACTCATTTTACAGATGAGGAAACTGAGGCAAGCAGGGTTAAATGACTTTCCCAGGGTTACACAGCTAGAGTAAGCACTTAATAAATGTTTGTTGACTGGCTTACAGACAGTCCACCAAGCAAACCCTGGATAACCCTCTAAGAAGTTTCCCTAGAATTAGGCCCAGGATGCTATAGGTATTAGGGAGTGAGAGGAGGGACATTTGTTTACATGTACTCATTATTTTAATACCAGAAGCCATTATAATAATAAAAATAATACTGACATTTGCATAACATTTTAAGGTATGTATATACATTATCTCATTACAACATCCCTGGGGAGTAGATACTATTATTATCCCCATTTTACCATGAGGAAACTGAGGCTGGATCACATAAAGTATCTGTAGCAAGATTGGAACTCAAGTCTCCCTAATTCCAGGTCTACTATTGAAGTCTACGGCATTTATGTGGTGATAAGACCAATATCCTGTTACTATGAAAATAGCCCAGAAATTTCAAAACACGTCTCTGGATGAATCAATGTCTTCTCCAGTCCCATCCCTGGGTCATACCCTTCCTCCAGTAGCTGCAAA